ACCTCTCCTATTCTCCTCCACTACGAATATTTATCGTATAATATTCTTTATCGTTAATCGTTAATCTCTAATCTTTCTTTCTTTTTCCTCATCTTAAAAGATGGTGTAAACAGGTGGCGGAGCGCAGGGGGAGACGAGGAAACAAGAAGAATGTACGTTCAACGTTCAACAAATATCTAAAACGAAACTGGTTTTCACAATGATTTGACAGATAGATTTGATTCTGAGATCATTGTGAAAGCTGATTTTGTTGAAAAGTCAGCGAAATTCGTCGTTGGATGGAATCACAGCAGTGTCCGGCATTATTTCGGACGGGATACTTATTACTATCGGATCTTGGAAACGATCGAACATAGCGGAGATCGCGTGCCTTCTCATTCACACCGTCTCAGGGTGTAATTGTTGACGGATAAATAAATGGAACGCACAAAGGAGTCTCTGTTTTGCGAGCATTGCACGACGCAGCACGCGCTTCGCGGCGCGCGCCACCAAATTTATGATTCATCGCGAGGAGGAAAGGAAAAGAGGAGATATATACAGAGGACGATACGCAGAAAAAATCGTTCCATCTTTCGCGAAAACGCGCGATTGTGCAACGTTTGGAAAAATAGGAGAGAGAGAGAGAGAGAGAGGGAGGGAGAGAGAGAGAGAGAGCGAGAGAGAAAAAGGAATGAAGAGAGGACGAGAAAACGGTTAGCGAATGGCAACTGGTGGCAACCCACCAATCGAGTATCTGGAGCACGAACGAACGACGTGGTTTTTTGTCGGAATTTCCGGTAGTGATTTATCAAACGGGAAAGATGGTATCGGACGAAGAAGCAACGGCAAGAAACGTGTTCTCGCGGAGAAGCTGAAGGAGCTAGAGAAGCGGAAGAAGCGAAGAAAGAAGGGAAGGGAGAAGAAACGAAAGAAGAAGATGGGTTGCGAGTCGCAAAGCGGTAGGTTTATCCCGAACGCGCGAACGCTTCGGGTATACGCTCGTGTGCATGCTCGAGCGCTATCAAGTGTCAAACGAACCGAACGTAAGAAAAACCAACGGTCTACCACGGAGCCGCGCGTAGCCGGCACAGAATTTTGAGAGAACGCAGCCGGATCGGGGAAAAGAGAGAAACTCTAGAGATATTCTAGATACGGTGGCCGTGGTAACGGTGATCCGCGCCGAGGATAATACGAAGCATCGCGTCGGTCTCCTCGACCCTCTTCTTCGAGCCGTATCACGCGCTTGACAGCTCGAGGAAACGAGAGTGTCCTCCAAACTCGAAACGACCACCGGAATCCATCCGACTTCCCCTTTCACCCTTTTCGAGATCATCGAGAGCCTTCGCTTCTCTCCTCTCGAGAAAGCGAAACCTCTCTCTCTCTCTCTCTCTCTTCTTCTTTCTTCCTTCCTTCCTTCCTTCCTTCCTTCCTTCTCTCCTACCGTACGTATTCTTTGTTGCAGCTCTTCGTTGCGGGCCGTGACGCGTGCATCCAGGTCCTTGGACGCGAGCCGTGATATCCGATCGGACCTCGAGAACGTAACTCGTACGCGACTCGAGTGATTTCCCTTTTCTCCTTTCTTCCCCTCCCTTCCTCCTCTCCGCCCTACCTCGTGGCTCGTAAAAAAAATCCTTGGCAAATTGGGCCACGAGACGGGACACGCTCCTTCTCGTGTTTCGTGAGTCGATAAACTCGGTGTGCCTCGGAGTGTGCTTGCTCCGACCACCGCCAAATCACGCCAGATTTATTCCTTCTCGTTCTCGGGTCTGACGTTATTTTGACAGGACCGCGAGAAAATTTATCGAGGAGAGTGGAAAGGTAATGGCAGCTACGCGAGCTCGACATTGTTTTGAGCTATTAGACGAAACAAGTGACCCCCGCTCTTTTACGAGCAGTCGAGCACTCGAGCCCTTCCCGATCGTACTGGAGGGGAGGGACGGGGAGGGCCACCATCTTCCACCCGATATCGCCACCGTGCCAAAAAATCCCAAATCCCCTCCCCCTCCCCGATTCGAGAATATTGTTAATTGGCAGAATAGGAGAGGAGACGGCGAATAGGAGAGATGACGTTTGAGAAGAAGAAGAAGAAGAAGAAGAAGAAGAAGAAAAAAAAAAAGGTTTGGTTTCCGTTATCGGAATTGGAAACCCTGTCGTATCGAGACGTAGGCGATCGAGAAAGAGTAAGAGAAACGGATTTTTACGAGTGGGGAACGTTAAACGATGTCGTAAAAACGTCGAACCGCGATTTTCTAGAAAACTCGTAAATTCCCACTACTCCCATCCACTACCCGTAGCTCCATTCCAACACAGTTTTCCACGACTCCAGCGGTCTCAAGTCAAGAATTTCACTTCAGTTTTCACGTTACGTACGCGTTGTTGGTGGGGCGGAGGGGAGAGGAGAGAGAGAGAGGAGGTGGCAGGCATATCGGTGAACCGTAACATCAGCGCTCGGTCGAGGAGGTCTCTCGTTTCTCTGGTGGAACGCGCGAACGAGCGAGCGGTGATCGAGGTGGAGGGTAGCGCACGTGCGTAACGCGCGACACACGCTCCATTCTCTCCGTCTCGGTTCTTTCGGGGCGCGGATGTCCGCACCATCGCACACGCGATTCGCTCAACTTGGCCAACAAGGCCTTCTCTCCTTCGCCCGCCTCCTCGCCATCCCTCGCTAATACGCTCGGCCATGGCTATGTATCGCGAGGCCGCGAGCCTCGGCCCGAGCTTTTATCACACCCGAATCGCCGCTAGCCACATGTGTACCGAGCAAAAACTTTCTTCCTCTCCCGTCTTTCTTTCCCCCCTCTTCTTTACCCACTTCTCTGCTCCCTGCCCAGAGAGGGAGTCCATCCGGAGAAGCCCAAAGAAAACGGCCGGTCGCTCGTCGTCCCCAATTTCTCTCTTTATTTGCACCTCTCCGTTGCACCTCTTCGCCGTAGAATGCTATCCTAATCGAGTTCGATAACAACGGCTTGTTTCCGAGGTTAGTCGAGATGCTTGAGATGACTGGACTGAAGTGCTTAGAAGAAACTATCGAAACCCTTATCCCCGTCTATTTTAATCCTCGTCGCTTTCCTTCCTTCTTTGAAACAAGGTTTTAGGTGTCGACCCTTCGTCACCGCGTCTCTAAGAAGGAGAGGGGGGGAAAAAAAAAAGGAAAAAAAGAAGAAAGGAAAGAAGAATCGTCGCGTCATACGACGTCGAACGCGAAATCGAAAAGAAACGAAAGCGAATACGGAAGAAGGTTGGATAAAGGAAGATAAAGATAGCGACGATCCATAGGGAGGAGGAGGAGGGCCAAGGGTCTCTACGATATCTACGATCGCCGTTCGTAGACGGTAGGAACGAGAAGGCTGACGTCGACGCGCAAATTCAACGCGAAAAACGTACAAACAGACGAGGATTCTTTCCCAGAAGCTAGCGGCTGTCTCGTATCTCGAATCACTCTCTGCCAAATGCCAATTATCATAAGATGCCGCTAGCAATTAACGGGCAAAAGCAAGCGAGGAAGAACATCGACGAACTGTTATTCCGTCTCGGATTTCATCGAAAGGAGAAATGCTCGTTACCGTTCCATCCTATTTTTCCTAACATCTTGTGTCTCGAATGGACAGCTCGAATCATCGGAATAACCGTTTGCTTTGTCATCGATCCATGTTCAAAATTGAACGTACGATATTATTCATCTTCGCTTGAAACGCTTAAAAATTATTAAATTATTTATTAAATGTATTAAACGTATCCCATCCTGTTTCTTTCTTTCTCGTAAGATTAATCTGTTATTAATCGTTTCTATTAAAAAAAAAAAAAATACGTATGTGTAAAAACATTACGAATTAAAGGAAATAAACGAACGTTTATTTAAAAAAAAGCAGAAATAATTCCAGGAATTGTACTTGATTTCTAAGAAATGTCGAAATTTCTGGAAACGATTATTTATCTCTTCTTTTTTCCTTTGTTCATCCAAAAAATTTCCTTTTCCTAGATTTCCTAATAAATTTCTGCAAATTTCTCTTCTTCGCAAAAATTCGCGTAGATATTTCTGTGCGATAATTCTCAAACGAGTATTTTTAAACGTTCCTAACTTTCTTCGTTTAATTCTATGTAAACTGCGTTGACCGAGTAGTCACATTTTACCGATAAGTCAGACAGCGAACGAAAATTTCCGCGATCAGCGCCATCTCGCGTTTGGACGCTGGAAGCTTCGACTCTTTACTAACAAAGCAGAATAGACAAGGAGGTATTCGTGACGTCACAGATAAAAAGGAGAGCGGAATATTGCGGAAAAAGGACAGAGAAGACATACCACTACTTTATGCGTACATCGTTCACCTTATATCATTTCAAAGACGCGACATCGTAAATTAATTAATTACTAGATTTCTGGTAAAAATTTCTGAACTTTTATACTCGCGTTTTCATCCTGAAACTTTGGACAACTTTCTCGTATCGATTTGAAACGTGAAATTCTTTTGATCCATTATTTATTAACGATTAATGCGTCGCATCTGAATGACGCGTGACCGACGCGTATTACATTTTTCGTTAAATTCTCATTATTACGAATTTCATTTCTAAACACGAATACACGCATTTCAAACGTTATATTCTTCTCTACTTTCACGTATAATTTTTGTCTACGAGTTTGTTGTTGTTCGAACGAATAAATCGATCATTCGTTACTCCATCGCGAAACGAAGATTCGCGAATTGAAACATTCTCTACGTTAATCGTTAATAAATAATTAAATCGAGAGAATTTCACGTTGAAATCGTCACGAGAACATTGTTCGAGGTTTTAACTTCGAGACGCGAATATAAATGTGCACAAATTTTCGATGGAAAATTGGTAATTAATTAATTTTCAATCGAGCGTCTTCGAAGTGTTGGAAGGTATCAAGAACGCATAACCAAAGTTAGTGGCGCGTTTCTTCCATCTTTCTCTCGCAATGTTTCTCTCTTTCTCGTGTGTGACGTCACGAATACCTCCTTGTACATTCTGCTTTGCTATTAACGAGTCAAAGCTTCCAGCGTCCAAACGCGAGATGGCGTTGATTCTAAATATCTTTCGCTGTTTAACTTACGAGCAAAATATATTCCGTGCATATACTTGGACGAAAGTTTGTGAGATCAAAAAAAAAAACGCGATACGTATAGTAATTATAATTTAAAAATCGTTTAAGCGGGAGTATATGATAATGATTGCATAAAGAGGGAAAATAAAGAAAGAATCCGAGAAATATATATATTACTATACGTATAATATGTGAGTGTTCAACATATATACGTATCACGTTACTTTTTTAGGTTATTTTATAAACGATTAAAAACGATTAAAATTAATTTTCGATTACAAATAAATATATATTTTTACAGTTAATTAATTAATATCCAGTCATTCTTATTTGAAAACCATTTTTCGCGTTGAGAAAAAACTTTTGATACATCGAAGACTAATTTTAATGAAATGGAATGATTTACGTCGATCATATTCAATCAATCGAAAAGGTAAAAATTAAAAATTCAAATTATTCTTGGTCCTATTCTTTTTAATAATGAAATTAATTTGTTTGAAAACAAAACTAAGAATTTACAAAGTCGATAAAAAAGATTATTTTTGTTCATCTTTCTATTCTAAAAATAAGTATTCGTAGATATTACTGTGATACAACGAACAGCGCTGAGGCAATAAGAACAATGGTTTCCTTGCATTTTTTAAGCTTCTATCATATTTTGGCGTCTTTCGGCCGAAATTTATCGTCGATATCCTATGGTCGGTTGAAGAGATTACTCTAAACTTCGCATTAAAGCGGATCGTGTCTTTTTAGGGAAAAAAAAAAAAGAAGAAAAAGAAGAGAATCGATGGATGAAATGCGTCGATGTTGTTTAAAAATGTAGCTGATAATTTTGTCTTACGATACAAAACAACGCATTGTTGAAATTGCATATAATATAAATACAAGAATGAAATCGAACGATGGAAGAATCTCTGATATTTATCGTTATTAAAAGAATTTATATTCAGATATATAAAAGATGACACTGATCTCGAGAATAACTTGCTTTTAACAAAAAATATTAGGTATAGTATATTATTATTTATAATAAATTATTATTAAAATCTATTTAATCCTATTACAGTACAACTTTCAAAATCAAATATGATTAGAAATATCCGAATTTATATCCGAGTAGTAGAACGCCAACCATCCAAGTACTCAAACTTCGAAATCAAACTCGATATTACTTGGTAATAAAAAATTCTGTCATATTCTACCTAAATATACTCGGAGATAAGAGATGATTCTATGAAATATCTATAAAACTGTTTTCTTTTTTCCTCGCTACAAATTGCACAAATAAAATTTTGCGATTTTTACCAGAAGAATCGATGTTGAAGAAGAATTCTTCGAAAAACAAAAGCAGAAACTAACGTAAAGGGAAAGGTATGAAGAAATGTATCGTGAATGAAAATATAACGTGGCAAAGTAATTCGATAAGTTACTACACGCGAAGGTGCGGCAAATGTAAAACTAGCTGTGGAGAGGAGAATTTATCGATATCTGGCGCATAATTACCATGGTAACAGGACGATAAAGCGATGGTACGCGTGTTTGACTTGCTATTGAAGAAGAGCATCGGGCATGAGAGAGTCTCGGAAGGAATGGGAATTCCGTTCGCTTGTACAGATACGTGAAAGCTCGGTGAAATTCACACGTGGCCGTCGGTATCCCCGACGTGTGTACTTTGTTACTCGATTCGATTAGATTCGAAACGAGCTGTCCCGAGAGACGCGAACGACGGAGACGAAACGAGACGGAATCACGAGAGGAAACGATCACGGAGCACGGTCGGAGGGAGCAAGGGAAGAGAAAGGATAAACGAGAGACGAATCTCGAACCGCTTTCCAAATACGTTAATTATTCCGCTAATTAGGGATACGATTGCACGAGCGCGATAAGAGGCTCGATGCCTTCGTTGTCCGTCAGCGAATGGGTTCGCTCCACGGTTCTGGCCGAGACGAACAATTTTATTCTCGGGATTTCGAGGAAGGCGATACAGAGAGAGAGAGAGAGAGAGAGAGAGAGAGAGAGAGAGAGAGAGAGAGAGGGAGAGAGGGAGAGCAAAGGGTTGTGCGCATTATCGAGATTAGGCCGAGCGCGTATCTCTGGTGTGTATCGCGTGTATCGCGGTCTCGCGTGGCTCGCGTCGAGATTCCGATGAATGGATAGCAAGGAAAATATAACCGAGCGATAATAGGAGAATCGGGACAGCTGCGTAAGGATTTACGACTCTTTGTGCTCGCTCCGAATAATGCTCGAACTGTCCAAAAATTTATCGATCCTATCTGCCCTAACCGGCAAATATTTACATCGTACATTGAATCTAGGAGGATGTCAACGTACTCCGATTTTCGAACACGCGTCGAAAAGCGGAGGAAAGAGAAAGAGATCGGGTCGGAAGAGGTGTTGGGGGAGGGGAGGGGAAAAAAACTAGGCAAAGGAGACGGAGGCGCGATCGCTTCCTGCTTTCGCGAGAATTCCCTCCGTCTTTCAGCATCGTGATATTTATGGATTCCGAGATTAAAAGCGCGCCGGTGATTAGCGCGAGAAGACCGAGCCCGCAGTAAATTAATTATATCGACCGAACGTCTCGATAACTTTATAACTGAATGCCTCTTTGTCCGTGACTCGCTTCGTATCCGGACCGCTCCACGAGATTTCGACATTTTTTCTTCGCTTCGCGGAACAATCTTGAAAATCTTGGGGCCCCGATAAAAGGTGCGTTCGTTCCTCTCCCAATCGAGCAACGATTATCGCCTCTCCTCGCCCGATCGAATTAATAATCCGATAACAAGTTGATCGAACCACGCGCATTTCCGGGGTCAAGAATCCGTGGTAAGTAAGCACACTTACTGGGCGTGCATCGTTAGTTTTACCAAACTCTCGAAGAATCCCGAGAAGAGACGTTTAGACGGATGGAGAGAAGGCTCGAGATATCTCGACCGACGCGACACGAGTACCCGCGAAAAAACCAAACAGCTGTGGAACGCTGACTCTCGTCAACTTTTTCCTTTTCCCTCCCATTCTTTCTTTTTTCTTCGCTGGTCGATTCGGGAAAAAAAAAAAAAAAGAAATTCATCCAACGTCGCCCAACACGACGTTTCCTCGACGTTCGAATCGAATCGTGGCGTCGAACGAGGCTTTTGCTTCTTTGTTCGCGATATCGGACGAGATTCGACTCGACTCGACTCGACTCGACTCGGATCCGAAAAACGATCCGTCGAGAGAGCGAACGACGCTCGATCGTCGGACGAAAAACATGCGTGGCCCTTCGTTTTAATCTCGAGTCGCGGGTGTAAGTGGCGTAAAAGTCGCGACACCGCTATTCCCACGTTCGTTCGTTGGACGGATATTCGTTCCGCGATAAGGCCTGTTTGCTCTTGAAAAAAACTTGGAACGGTCCATTCGCGGGCTCTTCTATTTCCCTCGTCCTTTATTCCGAGCTCCACTCTAACCTTCCAACTCTTCAAATATTTGTCCTTTTTCGCTTGTTTTGTTACATCGCGCGAACGCTCACGGCCCAAACGATCGCGACTAGCGAAAATTTCGGCCGTTGCGTGCAAACGTGCATCGTCTCGTCCCGATTCAATTTCTCGGGCGAAATTCCGACGATCTCCCACGGAGAGGAAGGGTTGAGACGTTTCATCGTCATTCGACTCGAAAAACTCTTATTTCTTTCTTTTTTTTTTTTTTTTTTTTTTTTTTTTTTCCTTTATTTTTCCGACAAATCTTATAACATATCGTCATACTTATAAATTAACGCTCCTCGAACGCTCGCGCGTTAAACGTTTCTACAAGTTTCTACGCAAGTTCGCGCTTGTTACAGGATGCGCGATAAATTGTATATCTAAACGATAAATGTAAGTACAAAAGCACGGTTATCGGCGTTTAATACCTTATTTATTTCTCGACGATTTCTCGTGCTTCTCGTCTCGCGATTATCGCTCGATACGAATCCCCCGCTGAGATTCTTCCCGTGAAATCGGCTCGATCCTCGAGAAAAGGCTCGGCGATGAAGGGAGCGGCGGATCCGTCGTTCGAAATTCGGTGAGCAGTCGTTTTTTCGCGACTCGACTACGATCGCGATCGAATTTCGCGAGTTTATTTTGAAGAGCGTGGCAAGCAGCGTATTCGGTCTCGCGAGCGCAAAGGCCGAGTATATACGCACACTTCAAGCCTTATATATTATTATTATATTTAGATCACGCGGCAGGGTATCGTATCGAGCGTGCTGTTTGTTTAGCCTGAAATTCTGCGCTTTGGAATGGCCGACTGTCATGGAATGATGTCATGGAGTAAGATCGTGGCTTCTCTCGCGTCCTTCTCTTTCGACGCGTCCAACCATCGGAGCAACGTTTCCAACGCGAACGAAACGCGGAAACTTCCAACCGGTCGATAGATTTCGCACGATCCAGTTTTCCTTCTGTTAATACGCGCATGAACGTATGAACGTATATACGTTCGCAATCTCCTATACGTATATATATATATATATATATATATATATATATACACCTATATTATGCACACTTGAACGCGTACGCGTGCTTACAGAGAGGCGATTGTGAACAAAATCAGCGATAAAATCTGTTGGAAAAAGAAACTGGATCGAATGGAGGGAGGGAGGAAGGGGAGTCGTAGTAACACCCAAACAAGGTTTCTTCGTCGCGGTTGTTGCTGCGCTTGTGTTGTTGTTGTTGTTGTTGTTGTTGTTGTTGTTGTGCGGGAATTAATTTCTCTTTCAAGGCTCACCTCCCCCCATTCTCACTTACATGTAATGAGGCCATGTTTCGATACCAGGTACGTAACGTTGGTATTGCGCGTAGGACGTGGACACGTGCGGATGGCTCATCTGCGTGCTCGTGTGCGAATAGTGCGAATTGTGGGAGGAGGATATGTATTGCATGGGGGGAAGGGGGGGCTGAAGTTCGTGATATCTGACTATGTCCGCCTGTGCTCGATCCTCCCAAGAAGTTTCGCCTATCGGCTGCGGTTCCGAGCAGTGCCGCTTGCTCGGTCTCTCCATCTCTTCGTCGTATCTGAAAAACGACGCGTTTCAAAACGAAACAGAGAGAGGGAGGGAGGGAGAGAGAGAGAGAGAGAGGGAAGGGATATTCCATCCATTCCTTTACGTTTCGATTACCTGTTGAATATCCACGGGGACGAGGACGAGGTGGTGGTAGGCGCTGGTACGTGCACCGGTGGAGGCACTTGGGGGCGAAGATACTGGTCCAACTCGTTGCTCTCCACCTCGCACTCTTGAAGGTTCAGGGGAAGATTGAGGCCAACGGCTGCCAGTGATCCGAGTCCGTTCAATTGGCCCTCCTCGATCGGTAAACCGTCTCCGACCTCGATGTACCTGAAATCGACTCCCGGCTGATGTTGATGTTGATGGGACGACTCGGTCGAGCCACCGATTCCCAACTCTTGATGATGATGGTACATGGTGGCGCTCGGCTGCGGTTGATTCCCCTGCCGGGAAAACTATTGATATTTCGCCACCGTTTCGTTTCTTCTTCCTTTCTCTCGCCGTTCTTTTTCTCGTTACGTACACCCCTTCTTACCTGATTCGCGTAATGCTGTCCGCGGGGGGTAGTGGGAGGGGTCGGTGGTGACAATCCTTGATTAGGGGTGGTAGGGGGGGACGAGCTGACCCCGCTCTGAGGCGAGTTAGGCCCCTGGACGGGGCGCGGGCTCGCGTCCTCCTGCTTCAACGACCTGGACACGTTGAACGTTACGTTGCTTTGGCTCCTCGACGGCGACCCCTCTCTCCCCGACGGCCCGTTTTGCTTTCGGCGGCGGGGTTGATACTTGTAGTCCGGATGCTCGCGTTTGTGGATCACGCGGAGCCGATCAGCCTCCTCGATAAACGGTTTCTTGTCGTTGTCCGACAGCAACCTACGGACAAACGGACGGAGCGGAAGATGGATCAGCGTCAGGGGGAGAGAGAGAGAGAGAGAGAGAGAGAGAGAGAGAGAGAGGGAGAGAGACGTCTGTTCGCGACGATGGCATTTCGCTCGGTCGAGGTTCACACGCGCGTACGCGCGCACGTCGGACGGCGCGTAGATACGCGCGTGGAAGAAGAGGCTGGAGATGGAACGAAAACGTTTCCATCACCATATACGCGATACTCGACTCGAGGAGTCGAAATGGGAGGTCTGGTTAGTGTTTCTCGCCGCGTACCGTCTTAAGGGCGCGCGTTTCACGCACACGCGCTCGCACCCACCGATTCTCCTTCGCCCGCGTCGCGACTCGAATCGCGTCGCGTCTCCGTCTCGTTCCGTCCCGTTCCATCCCGTCTTGTCGCCTTACTCTTTAATTCCTCGTGTTTATGTTCCCACTGGGGCTCGTAAAGCCCCAACACCGATAAGCTTTTCCGGTCCCGGCTGCCAGAGATCTCCACGATTCTCTCTCTCTCTCTCTCTCTCTCTCTCTCTCTCTCTCTCTCTCTCTCTCTCTCTTTCTCTCCATCTCTTTCGCTCTTCCCCCGATCGCATCGATCGAGTAGAACGAAATCACCGAATCAAAAAAAATATATATATATATTATACATATATATATATATATATATATTATAGTATATCGAACGGGTCGCGATAGGTAACGCTGGCTGGAACGGGCGTCGTGAACAGTGGTCGAGAAAGAGAATCTCCATCTGGTCAATGGACTTTGCCTCGAGGTTTTTTTTTCTTTTTTTCTTTTTTTTCCTCCCCTCCCCGCCCCTCTCTTCGTCGACAGAGCGCCGAGGCTGACGATAGCGGCCCGTCACAGCCTCCCTTTTTTCCTTCTCTTTTTCTTCTTCTCCTTCTTCTTTTTCATCTTTCTTTTTCCTTTATTTCTCTTTTCTCTCCTTCTTTTTTTTTTCTTTTTTTTTTTTTTTTTTTCTTTTTGCCAGATGCAACGCGCTCTTAACCAATTCGGATCTGCCAGTCTCGCGATTGTAATGTATCTCGCTGTGTAGAGGGTGGACACGAGGCTGGAGGAATATGGCAGTAAAGCAAAGAATGGCGGTAAAATGGAGAGACGTTGCTTCCGTCAGATAAGATGCATTTACCTGTTCGTGACGGGTGTTATTTGCACGAGGCGTGGAGCGACGAAGGGAGGCAGGTTCGGAAAAATTCACCTGACGGGGACACAAGGAGTTTATTGTGATTGTTGGGGGCCGTTTATCTGAGGCAGGAACCGGCCGGCAGCTGTTAGCACGCGCCAAGGATGAACCGTGCCTATCTGTTTTCGTTTTGTCGACAAACATCGCGTCTAATGTTCGAACGCGATACCTTTCTTCGAGCCGGAAGAAAAAGGACAAGATTTATTTCCGACTCTTACACCTGGTCCCCTCCTCCCTCCACGATCAATCGCCTTCGGCTCGAATCGCCTTCGGCTCGAATCGCCTTCGACGCGCGTCCAAACTTCTTTTATTTACGTTTTTTCCCGCGATCCCGACGCGGTGACGCGTTGAAAGCGAAACGGGGTCGCTTTTCGATCCGCGATCGCGATCGAGGCCGGATCGTGGAACGAGTCGCCGCGGGGGGCGGCCGAAAACACGGCCGATCGAGGCCGGTCGGCGAGATCTCGTATCTCGCGACGTTCGCCGAACGAGAGATTCGCCGCGACTTTCACCGCGCAGGGGTGAAAGAATTTTGAAACGAAAAATTTTTGATGGAGGGGAGGGGGAGAGAAATTTTGGCGTAGCGATGGTTGGGTAACCGATCTCCGGGTGGAAGTCCGGTTTTCCGAAAGAAGAGAGGAGGTTTGCGCGGTTGTCAACGGGAGAACGGTCGTACCACGTGCAGCCTCGGCGCCACGTGGTAAGAATGTGTTCGGCATGCGTGCTACTCTCCCGTAAAAAGGAAGAAAAGAAAAAAAGAAAGAAAGAGAGGAAAAAAAAAAAAAAAAGGTCGCTCGCCAAATCGCGTGGTAAAAATAGAAAGCGGCAACAAGTGGTCGCGTGGACCGTTGCCCCTTTTCGATTCACCACCCAGGGTTCGTCGACGAGTTTCTTGAACCGACGAAACTTGGATCGGTCGTCGTTGATCGATCGTCGACGACAAGAAGAAGAAGAAGAAGAAGAAGGAACTGAAAAAGAAACTCACCGCCAAAGTTTGCCCAAAGTCTTGGACAGCTCCGCGTTGTGAAGTTGAGGATATTGATCGGCGAGTATTCTCCTCGCGGCCTGAGCCCACACCATAAACGCGTTCATCGGTCTCTTCACGTGGGCTGCTCTTTTGTCACCGGAACCCCTGCAATATTCGAGAGGAATTTGATTATCCCCGAAATTTCGAAACAATTCCATCCAAGATTCTTTTCCTTCCCCTTGGAAAGGATCGGTGGAAAGGATCGATCCTCGCGTAATCGTTGCGTCCCCGAGCGGAACGGCGGCATGCTGAAAACCGGCCTTAAAATAACACCGAGCCTGCCAACGGGTGACGAGCAGGAATGGACGCGCGCTGGTATCCCTTTCTTTCCTGGAAGATGACTTCATAAAACCCATTTGCCCGATCCGGGATCGGGGATCGACCGAAGTGACTGACGTGACTCTCCCCCTCCCCCCTACTCTCTCTCAAGTACGAACCCTTCTCGCGCTGTTTTCTTTCTCGGGATTAATAATCGAGGATCCTCCTCGTGTCGAGGATCTTTGACCGCTCGCCCCGCTGGAGGAGGACGCGCGAAGGAAGGAATCGTGGCGAGGAGAAGGGCGGGAGGCGACGTTTTCTACGCGCGACGCGATACACCGCGGAAATGGATGTTTCGGGGTCGAAATCACGGCGTGGATGCCGGCTGGGTAGGGGGAGGGGGGAGGGGAAGACGTGGAAAAAAATTTGAGGCTCCTCCTATGCATATATTTCGGCCTCTTTGAAATAAGAGGGGCGTTAAATCCGTGTGTAAACCCGCGAGGAGCCGTTGGTAATTAGCGCCGGTCCACTAACGAGGGTTTTCACGGGAGTCGCGAGTCACTTGGGTGTACACGCGGTTTACCTAGATACGCGAAAAAAATCTTTCAGTCTTTGCACCTCGTTTACCGTGCTTTTGCGGAATAGCACACGGCCGTACTTATCTGAAAAATTATTTTTCTATCCATTTCTCTCTCTCTCTCTCTCTCTCTCTCTCTCTCTCTGTTCTCTGCCTTCCGTAGGTTTTCGCGAAAAAAGGAGGGGGGAGAAAAGAAGAAAAAAAAAAATGTCTCGGAAGAGCACTTATTTACCTATCACTTAGGTGGAACGAGCGAAAGGAAACGCGCGATAATTCGAGTGCATTCTCATGGATTTCATGGGAATTAAAACTAGAGTCGATTTTATCGGGCTCTATCGTTGGAAATAAACATCGTACCCCCTTTAGCTTACCCCCGAGATAACCCCGTATAATTGAGGGTTAGCGCGATAAGCCGTCGCGCATAGCGATACTAGCTCGGAGATTTCAACCGTAACTCGCCGAGGGAAATTTTCCGTCGAGCGAACCGCACACCTTACCGCGCGTTCCGTATCGTTCCAACGGGAGGGAGATTCGGCCGTTTTTCGTTTCGAGTTACGTTGAATCCTTTTTATCGCGTATCGATTTTATCGAATCGTGACGATCGTCGGTCGCGACGTAATCATCGATCCCCTACGAAAAGAAGGAGAAAAAAAATAGGAAAAAAATCCCGCTTCCCACGCGAATCGCGATCTATCGGCGAAAATAGAAACGGGAGAGGAGACACACTCGAGATCGGGCATTAATTAGCTAATTTGCGTTAATTGGCGACCGAGGACATATTTCCACGAGCCGTTTCCCAAGCCGAGGAAACCAGTGCGTCATAATTAAGTTAGCGTTTCGTATTTTTAAAGTTCGTAACGCGCGTCTCTCTCCTCTCTCTCTCTCTCTCTCCTTCCTTTCCTTTCTTTTTTTTCTTTTCCTTTTTTTTTTCTTCTTTTCCTCGCGCGTTAAACGCTCGGCGTTAAAAAAAACTCGTCTTCGCCACTCGCGATAACGACACTCGCTAAATACCGTATATACGCGAGGGAACGAGAGAGGAAGACGAAAAAAAGACTCTTCTCCCTTTTCTTCCTCCTCTCGATATCGTTATTATATTATTGTTAGTACGCGAGAAAAGATAAGAGAAGATCGCGTGGAAGCGTGGAACGCGGCTTTTTAAAACTTACTTACTTGGTGGCAACAGGTACCAAGGTCCAATCGTATCCCTGAAGAACTTTGGTAACCGCGGCGCTGATTCTCTCGCCTCCGTTCGCCGCCACCGTGCCGCTCATATTCCCCGCTTTTCCATTGTTGTTCCCGCTCCCATTGTTACTCCCGTTGTTATCGATGTTGTTGTTCCCGTTGATAGCGGTGGAACTGTTGGCGGAATTGACAGGGGTGGCGCTCGAGGAGATCGAACCCGATGCCGCCTCTCCCATAATGTCGTTCATCTTCTCGATTTTCCGTTCGACCGTTCGATAGGGAAAGGGACGAATTCTCTCGAAGGGATTTATCGCGCGCTACCAGACCCGTTCATCGTTCATCGAAGGAGAAACGTAAGCGATGCTTGCTCGATTATTAATCGCAATTACCATTTTATCGTTAACGCGCGTCACTTCCGTTTCTCGCCTTTCTGTTTTCAGCTGCGTCGCGGCGATCGCGTTTCCCTTTCTTTCCTCCTCTCTTGTTGTCGACTGTTGTTCTATCCGTTCCCTCCGACGCCTCGGTATCGCGGGGCAATACGCGCACGTTTGTCACGTTTAATTAATTCTTCGCTCGATTACGAAGCGAGCAACTGCAACGAGCGTGCATCTCGAGCCGACGGCAACTCGTCTCGTATCCTATCTTTCCTTCGCTTTTTCCTCGCCGTACCAGTCTCGTCAACCGAGCCAATTTTAATCTCCTCCTCTTCTTCTTCTTCTTCTCCTTCTTCTTCTTCTTCTTCTTCCTCCTCCTCCTCCTCTTCTTCTTCTTTTGCGTATCGCTTCTCGACTTTATTTCTTTCTTTCTTGCCTTCGTTACCGCTATCGGCTACGACTGCTCTCGACGTTAACGTTCGACTACTATCTATAATACTCGTCGAAATACTTTCGATGTAATACCACTGCCGAATCGAAGGCTTTCTTCGATTTTCTTCCGGGAGATCCGGGACAGTTTTTCTCTTTCGGCGCCTTCGTTTCTCGAAAGAAGCTTTCTTCAACGATGCTTTCTCGCGAGGATCACTGTGCCGGATGCGCGATATCGAAGCTCCCTTCTCGCCCGAAAATTGGCGATTTCGAGGGGAACACCTCGTGGAACGAACGCACTCGGATCGGTCGACGAAGAAGGAAACGACGACGGAGAAAACTCGGTGATCACTCGACGGAGCACAAAACTGTCGAACGGTTACGGTTATGGAACATCGCGCTCGCGTTTGTCCGATGGAACGGGGGGGAAAAAAAAAAAAAAAAAAAAAAAGAGAACGAAACGAGGAGAGAGAAAGAGAGAGAGAGAGAGAAAGAGAGACGAGCGCGAGACGAGGATTTCCAGTTGCTTGCGCGATCGACGCTCGAGTGAGGTGGTTGAATCGCCTCGGGGCACTTTCCACCGATCGCTCCAACAGCGACTGCTAGTTGGGGGCGGAGCGACGGGCCGAGGAGCTGCCAACACTTGTTGCTTCGCGATCGTGCCCACCGACCAACCTCGACACGAGGGGAAAGGGTCTCTTTCGATGCTTTGCCACGATCGTCCGACGATCGAGCAGAGATCTCGTTCTTCTCGTCTCCGCGTCCACCGAGAGATCGCCTTTTCACGCGCCACGCTCGAATCAACCATCGATCTCTCTCTCTCTCTCTCTCTCTCTCCCTCTCTCTCTATTTTCCGAAACTATTGTATCTCATCGAGTCGCGAGACGATTTGGATCGTTGTAATTCCTATCGAGGAAAGAAAATTGATCGAAAAATTGTATATACGATGCGTATCCGATTGTAAGTGGGATATCGATAGAAAGAAGAATCGAATTCTCCATCGACTGTCAGCCCTTCTCGATAATCCCCGCTTCCTATAGTATCCGTTTATTTCGGAATAACCGTGCGATCTCTCTCTCTCTCTCTCTCTCTCTCTCTCGCTTCTCCTCGAGAGTTTCTATGGCCACGATATCCTCCGGGAGTAGGACCAATCGGGTTTCTTCTCGTTCCACCTACTTCTCCTCTCCTTTCTCTGCCTCTCTCTCTCTTTCCTCCTCCTCTCACCCTTTCCCTCGCTACCTCTCTCTTCGTTCCTCCCACGCAACGGTGCTTATTGGTCGGCCAGTCGTTGGCAATAACTACGCAGCAAGGAGGAGCGTGCAATTTTCCTGGCGATGCACCAAGCGCGGAACGCGTCTATGGTCGCGGCGGCTCGTTCTTCGAAAAGAATTTTCGGCCGGTCGCTTCGAGCCAACCCTTCGAGCTTCGAGGGAGGAAATCGAAAACGCGGCGCGTGACGCGGTAGACGAGGATGACACGGTGCCGATTCGATGACGATGCGGAATGCAGCGTACAACTCGTGTCACCGTTGGGGGTCCGAGAGTTGCGGCGCTCGTCGCCCGGGGGCCTATCGTCTCCTACGGCCCGTATTCCTTTCAACTGTCCGACGCGAATCCGAATCCGGGACCCCCCCTCGGCAATCGGTGAAATCGCTTTTCCATCTCTCTCTCAACGTCGCGTCATCCTCCGTATACTTACTTGCGTTACCTAATCCGATCTTACCTTCCTTGCTAATCGTAAGCTGGAACGAGAGGAGGTTTCTTTTTTGGAACGTTCGATTCCGTGGAGTGGAAAGAAACGAAACCGTAAAAATCGAGACGCGTGTTTCCCTGAACGGCCCTGAAACGAATTCTCTCTCTCTCTTTCTCTCTCTCTCTCTCTCCCTTCCTTTTTCGTTGGCGTATATACCTAGCGAGAGAGAACGAAAGCACATATTGGTGCCACGTGCTGCGCCTCGGGATGTTTATCCCAGGAAGAGCAAAATTCCGGCTTGCTGAAATCAATATTATTGTTCGCGGTCGGCTAAATTTGAATCGCGATTCGGTTGCAACGCGGTAATGCCGCGCGCGTGCATCGCGAAAAGCGTCGCGGAGACGGTGAATTATTAACGGAGAGGAGAAGGAACGATCGACGAATTCCACCCTACCTACGTATAGGTATGAGGGAGTAATAGTAATAGTAGTAGTAGTAGTAGTAGTAGTAGTAGTAGGAGTGGTCGTGCGAAAAAAAAGAAGGGAAAGAAGGGGAGGAAGAAGAAGGGAAAAAGAAAAGGTGGTGATAGAGCGGCGATAGAGCCGCGGCGTCACGAATAAAAAAACGTAAAAACCGATTCGCGAACGTAATTCGCCCGAGTGTCTCGAGCATTTCCGAGGGGGCCGAGCGCGGCGTTTACGAGCGAGCAGCGAGTTAATCCTGCAAAGTGCGAGCAAGATGCCTCCTTTGATCTCGCACAAAAGCCGCTACACGGCATTGACCGTGGTTTATATACGCTCGTGTATGGGCCACTGTCTTTGCTAGCTCGCTCATTCATTAAATTCGTTGTATAATTAGGCTCGACAGAAAGACGGAGACTGTCAACCGATCATTTTCCCGTGCAACGACGAAAAGCGAAACGAGTTTCAAACTCGCTCCTCGATTTATGTCCTCTCCGCGTGCATTCTCCGTGTTCGACCATTTCTTCGCCCCCTCCTCCTCCTCCTTCCTCCCTCTACCCTCCCTCGATCACCCTTCTTTCTTTCTTCTTTCTTCCCCGATGTAGCTGGCAAGAACGTAAAGTCACGTTCACCGCGATCTAATTATACGGGCTGCGAGAGGCTACGAACGCCACGGAACACAGAAATTTGCGATTATTTTCATCCGTGGAGGAGGAGGGCGAGCGAGCGAGCGAGCGAGCGAGCGAGCGAAAAAGAGAGAGAGAGAGAGAGAGATACGTTTTGTTTATTCGAACGACGGTCAATTTCGGTTCGTCGGGATACGCGGATTGTTGAGGAGTCGATTTCTCGGAGAGGAAAGAGAGGAGAGAGGAGAATGCGAAGGATGGGATGGAAATGGAGGAAAAGTTTTGGAAGTTGGAGGGATTTGGAGGGGGGGAAAAAATGGGAATCGAGATCGCACGGTGGACGACGATCGGATTGGAACGCAGGATGGACGAAGGAAGGATCCGTGGCGAGTAGTCGTGGACGGGAAGAACAGAAAAGGAACAAGATCCTAGATATCCCCCACCTCGGACGTAGAGGTGGTCCACGGAACCGCCTCCGCGATCTACCATCCAACGTTGGGTGCGTGTGCCAGACGTGTGCTCGTCCGTTTCTGCCTCTTTCGTACGGACCAACCTGTGCGGTGCACGTTCCCTGAATGAACCTTAGCATCCTCGTCGATCCGCGTTCGTCTTTCTCCTCTAGTCGGTCGGACGGTCGGTTAACCATCGGAAGTAGTTGGTATCGCGGCATCGCAACCAAGATTCTCTCTTATTCTTCTCCTCTTCGATCGACGCAATTTCCAATTTTATTATCGAGATCTCACGTTTCGTGTCTCGGCCACGGATTATATATTTTTTATTTTATATTCATCGCGAATCCGAAAGGAGAAGAAGAAAAGATACATACATATATATATGTATATATATGCGTTGAAGACCGCGAAACTCGGTTCGGATACGCGTGAACGATACTCGGATCGAGTGAGATAACGAGGGAAGAAGAGGAAGAAGAAGAGGAAGAAGAAGAAGAAGAAGAAGAAGAAGAAGAAGGAGGAGGAGTTGAGAAAGAGTGGCGGAAATCGATGGATTAGGCCGATAGGATCCCGTCCGGTCCTCGAGAGGAAGGACAAGGGTCGGTTCGTGATAAATTACGGCACGATAACCTCGGATTAATTGGTCCAATTGGTTTCCTCGCTACGAGATTCGATTGCTCGCGAACCACGCGTTGGCTCTCGATCGCGTTTCACGCGAAGGAAGAGGAAGAAGAAGAACAGTGCGGTTTGAAGATAAATCGGCAACGCGATCGAACAACAATCGATTGTCCGCGTCGCACGAATGTGAACGAGTAACTGTATCTGTATCGTACAAGTAATCTTTTTCGACGACCGAGGATCCAGGGGGAGAGATGGAAAGTTATCATCACGGTAACGACGTATCGGGCACGCCGGAAACGGAAGCCGGACCATCGAGCACCGAACAATGCAGCAACGAGCAATGCGCCAACTCGTTGGACGACGCAGTCGGCAAACTGCTTCAAGGTTCGCTCTCGTCTCGTCGTCGTCCAAATCCAATTAGACGACTCCCTTTATCGGAATTTTACAGATTCTTTCTTTTATCCATTTCTCGTTACCCCTATCTCTCTCCTCGCTTATTTTTCGAAATCTCGTCGATCGAACGTCGGTTGGAAAGATAAACGTCGGATACCTATCGCACAGTACAGATAACGCTAGATATAAAATGGATTAAATCAATGCAGCGGGAAACGCATAACGATAGTTTGGAGGACGACTCGAATCGAATATTCGAGCTTCTCCCTAATCTTTTAAAGGACGCTTTATAATTGGCGATGAAACTCGGCTTACGGTGATTAATCCCCCGCGATACGTTTGGCCGGACGTGGGGAGGACGGAAAATACGTGGGGTGGGGAAAAGGGGCGAGGAGGAGGAGGAGGAGGAGGTCGCGAAAAGACGATTTCGAGGAAGATTGGGAAGGGGCAGGTGCTGCGAACAGAGCGAAACCGCTGAACGTTTGCCACCACCGACGCTAATTATGTTAGTACGAAATTAAATCCGAGACATCGAGGCTCGAGCGAGAGGTTGACGAGAGGGGCACAGAGAAGATGGGGTGGGGAAGAGGAGTAATGGGAGCTCGGCATGATTTACGAGGGCCGGCGTTCGTCTCGTTCAAACTGCGCCTCCTTCTTCGAACGCGGTTCGAGAAGGGCAGAAAACGTATCTTCGAACGAGACGCGCGTCATCCATTCTCCTCTAATAGCGCGACTCGTGTTTCAAACTCGTGTGTCTCATCCGACCTATCCATCGAAATTCGTCGTGGGAATGCATCCCTGCCTTACTCGTCCTTCCCTATTTGCCAATTGATTATCGGCCAAGGGATTACGATAATAAAGGCGGTAGACGGATCGTTCGATCGATCGATCGATCGAAACGTGGCGAAGCGAGCGCTGTTGTCGGTCATCGACGACGAGAGAGGAGGCGACGATGCGTTCAAACGCGTATCGTGTCCCCTCCTCTTTAACGAGGATCCCATCCGCGTGGTAATGGGAGCTGATTTGTACAGAAGTTAATGTAGCAAGAGTCGACGACAGGTCGGCATTGACAACCGAGATACCGAAACACACCGGTTCATTCAGCGGTTCCACAATCCCTTATTATGCGCTACTCGCGTACTCTATCCCTCTCTCGCGCCTCTCGCGCCGTCCAGTCATTCATCCTCCTTGGAAAAGTAGAAAAGTTCTCTCTCCTCCAAATTCTAATCCCCCTCCCCCCTCCCTTTTCGCTTTCGATTAATCGTAATCCCAATCTCTCCCCTCTCTCTCGAACTTTCCTCCTCCCCTCCCCTTCTCTCCGGCAGTTTCCAACATCTTCCTTCCTCGAAAATCTTCTCGCTTCTTTTCTCCTTCTCCTCGCGGCCTTTGACTTCTTCCTCGTGGCTGGTCGTGGAAAAGGGCAAAGTGAAGTCGCGAGTCGAACGCGCGCGCCAAAACTTTTTCTATTCCCGTCGCTTGCCAGGGGATTGTGCAAACATTTCCGTGTTTCCATGAAAATTTCCTCCGTATACTTGTATTCCGTATATCGGTCGCGACAAGTCGTTCGACAAACGTTAAAGAAGAAGCCGACAGAGAGACCGCATCGGTGAACCGTGCCCTTATGGTAATTAGCTTCCATGGATTCTCTCCACACTTCGCGCGCTCTACACGTCACATCTCACCACGTGCATCTTCCTCCTTTCCTTCGATCCTTTCCTTCTTCGATTTCACCCCTTCCTCTCCATCGGGTTCCGCTTCGCGCATTCTTACTTTCTTGCTTCGTCACTCGAATATCCAAGATTCGAAATAACGATCCAATAATATCTAATCCTTTCTTTTCCCCTCCGCTATATTTTTAATTACCGATTCGCTTCGTAGTGTAAACACTTGTGGCCACATCGATCGATCGCGAATCAAAGAAAATATGCCGACGCGGGATCGAAGAAACGGAATATAGTCGATATACGTAGATACGCTCGATGGAATTGTGCGGCGTGGGATTGCGTACGGGATTCTCGACGAGATTTCTCGGAATGGAAAACTCGCAATGACCCAAATAACTTTTCTTCGGTCGATGAACATTCATTGAGGGAGACCGAGAGGAAGTCGGTAATAATAATTAGTCTGTTGATGCGAGCAAACGATCGACGGATAAAGACCACCGCGTTCGAGATTTTCAACAAATCATTCGTCAATCTCGAAGTTTCGCGTTCGTTCGTTCGTTCCGTTTTTAAACGCGAAAAGATAGGAGACAAAAGAAAAGAGAGGAGAGAGAGAGAGAGATGAAAAGATTGGAAAATATTAAAAGAAACTCTAATATCCGATAGAGATCGGAGAGAATCGCGTAGATATCGCGTAGGTTATAGGGGATACAGGTGTCCTTTTATCTCTCTCCTTTTACGATCTAATTCCACGGAGAGATAGGCTATCCAACTTCCGGTGACCGGCGTTTCCTTCGTTTCTTTTCCATCTTTTTTAAAGCTTATCAGTTACGCATAACGTAACCGAACATTTGTACTCGCGATCAAACGATCAAATTCCATCTCTTCATCTTTTCCAGGCTACGACTGGACCTTGCTTCCGGTCACTTCTCGCGCGGGCGGCCGAAGAAGCGCTCACGTGAAACGTCCGATGAACGCGTTCATGGTTTGGGCTCAAGCGGCGAGACGCAGATTGGCGGATCAATATCCACAACTTCACAACGCCGAACTCTCGAAAACGCTGGGAAAACTGTGGAGGTATATTTCGCGTTTAACGTATGTGACATCGCTGCGTCTCGTTAACCATCTCCTTCTATAATGCGACAGAATTTTAAGCGACGGTGAGAAACAACCGTTCATAGAGGAGGCTGAAAGATTGAGGAACGCGCACAAGAAACAACATCCGCATTACAAGGTGATTTTTCATTAAACGAAAAAAGTTTTTAAAAGAAATTTTTAAAAAATCGATCGTTCCGATACTCCGACTCGCCTCGATTAATCTAAATCACGATCAAATGGCAATTACAGTATCAACCGCGTCGACGGAAACCAAAATCGGAGGAGCAAATGGGCATCGTGATGCATCGGACCGCCTTATCCTCCCCTGCCACGTCTCTAGATTCTACCAACTCGTCCGAATGCGCGTATCCTCGTCTGTATACAGATACCGGCATCAAAATGTACGAGAGGCCGACTTATCACGACAATAAAATCAATTACGACGTTTCGAGATCAAGTTGGTCGAACGACACGAGCAAATATCCGGCCGATCATTCGATCGTAGAAAGTAAACCGTACGAGGGTGGGAGATACGAATCTAATGTGGCCAAGAGTTGCTACGTGGACGCGAAGTGCTACGAGACGGTCAAATATCATCACGAGGTATCCGCCGCCGCCGTCAAGTATCACGAAGCGATTCCAAAATATTCGGAATTGCAAACGAAACCTTACGATCTACCAAAATATCCCGAGAATCCCTTAAAATATCCCGCTGACGTTACCAGCCCGAGTAAATCGTACGCGTGCGTACATGGCCATTACCCCGCTCCCGAGGGATACACGGTGCACGAAGAAAATGAATATCAAACGCAGGGAGTCTCGACCCATTCTTTTTATCCGTATATTTCCGCATCCATGACGCAACCACCTTATTACATGGGCCCACGATAAATCTGGAACTAACATCGGGAATGGATAGCCCGTTGTCCGGGCCATTGATAGTCGGTTGAAACCGCTTAGCAATGTTTACTTTCTTTCTTTCTTTCTTTCCTATTTATTCTTTCACAATAAACTTTAAACAACCAAATAAATAAACGATTATTCCGTTAATACATCTAATTCGACAATCAACAATCATCTCCTCTATCTACTTTGGTTAATATTATAATTTACTATATATTTATCTCTTTTTATTATACATCATCGCAACCATCGCATGATACAAATTATCCTTCGTCGTACCTTCGAAACGAGAATACGCTCGTACGTTTTTATACATATATATCGTGAAACCTAAAAGTAAGTTATTTTTATAAATAAATATTCTATTAGAGAGAGAAAAAAGAACAAAAAAACAAAAAATAAAATTAAATTGTGCGCTATATCTTCTCGATGACGAACCTCACACAGCTCGATAAAACAAAAGTTCGCTTTAACGTACAATTTTTTTTCAATAATTCTTAATCACGAAAATAAATAATCAACAACGAATCAACGTATGTACAAAATATCAATCAATAATTCCGAAGAAAAAGAAATAAAGAGAAGGCGCGGAGAGGAAGGGGGAGAGGGAGAGGGAGAGGGAGAGGGAGAGAAAGAACAAGGATAAAAGATGCCATCTCTCGAACGGATGCAATCAGATCTGATTCAAACGCGATATTATACGTCGTTATAAACATCGCGATTTATCACAGCGGCTAATTCTTTTATTTGATCTCTATTGGCGTGCATAAACGCTTTAGTGGTCCATATCATGTCGGCCAAAATTTCGTCGCTTTTCTCATCCATGTTTATATCCTGAGATAGTTGCGGATTAAATCTGTAATAAGGTACGCCGATCATAGAGCACCAATTCCTTGCGCGATCAACGATCCTTCCATCGCTCGCGGTTGCTTGATCCACCAGCAATACCGCGAGAACCGATATTCCCATCGCAAACTTTGCGGTAGACCATAAACTTTCGGGAAGAAATATGTCGATATCTTTCAATGGACTGGTAGGTATCAAACCAGTGCCAAGAGAAACAACCAAAGACAGGGGGATTACTTCTTGTTCGCGTCCAGAGGCCTTTAAAGCGAGATTGTATTCGTGAATTTCAGTTATAGCGTCCAAAGTCGGGTTATTCGCTATTAAACCACCGTCGAGAAATTTACCGAATGCTCGAAAATACGATGGAGCCGCCCCGGTTGCTCTCGCAGCATGCCAAAGCAATTGTTCATTCGGTGGCACGGGAGAAGCAGATGTCGAATTCTCTGGAATTTCGAGTAAAGCACTCGGTGCATCGTAATTGCGAAACAAATACAAGTCGACGGGTTTTTTGTCAGCTAACACACTGGTAATCATTATCTTGGGCTTCTCGATATCCGACATCACGGTATTAGCGCCCAGACTATCTTTCAACACTTTCTCTAAACCTTCGCTATTATATGGACGCATACCAACGAAAGCTTCCTCTTTTATACGAAAATACAACGCTTGACATTCTCGCAAAGACTTGCCGGCTGCCAAACCAAGGGCTAAGATTCCACCGGTCGAAGTGCCCGCGATCCAATCGAAACATTCGATGATAGGTTTCTTCAAGATCGATTCGATCTCCAACAATGTTTGCACGAGAACCAAACCGCGAATCCCTCCCCCATCCAAACAAAGAAGTCGACCACCTTTTATCTTCTTGTTTTCTTGCGTAGCCATTTTATCCATCCCGGAAACATGAAGCATTTGATCCAATATAGTACGCGGTATAGCTTTTGGCGGTTGTTGCGGTGCAATGCCGTTAAAGTTTTCGTTATACTTGCAGCCCAGGTTACAATTAATCATATCCGGTGGACAACGTTGGGCTCCCACCGCATCTAGAATATACAAAATCTTTTGACCCTCGTTGTTATCGATATTTATGCGATGTCGTGGCGTTTCCGACTTCCAATTTCTAGCATCGATATCCGCTCCGAATCCTATCAGAGTCTGCACTATGGCCGCTGTACCTTCAGAAACTGCCAAATGCAATGGAGTATTGCCATCCTTGTCGACGATATTCACAGAACACATATGACTCAATAGAGCCACCACGCATGGTAATCGTTTTCTCATCGCCATAATGTGCAACGCCGTACGGCCATCGAAATTCAAAGCATCTATATCGCAATTACTTTCTATCAGGGCGTTAATCACCTCCCTGCTTAGCGACCAGTGCAACGGCGTGCCACCAAATCTCATATCTTCGGCATGAAGAACATTTGGTTGACTGTGAAGAAAATCTCCCACGTAACCGGGGCTCGAAGGTTGACCCTCGGAAGCAGGTATGTTCACATCTGCTCCGATTAAAAGAAGAGCTTTAACGCATTCAGGCTTGTTGTTTAAACACGCGACATGCATCGGCGTATGCCCATTACTGTTACGACTGTTTAAACTATTGGGAAGATCACCTCCAAGGGCTAAAATTATTTCTTTAGTGGATGTGGCTGCATAATGATACACGGTATTCGCGTTAAAATCCAAATGTTCCAATGAACTTTTAGCTTCTATCAACATTTGGACCGTACGTAGATTATTCGTTTGCACCGCAACTTGTAAAGGAGATACACCCGTTTCCACATCTCCGCTATTTAACTGACTATTCACATCTGCATGAGCAAATGCATTGTAGAGAGCAAAGTGAGCTGCCAAATGTGCCAGAGTCCACGTAGGATGTTCCATTAAAGTATCGCACAACTTTTGTATCTTATTCACATTACACATCTGTATAATAAAAACAATGGTAATTATAATATAATTATATAATTATATAATTATATAATATAAATTATAATATAATAATCATAATTTCTATCCGTATATAGATAGAACAAAAATTCTTAAAATCTTCACCAAGAGAAAAATTACCTCGCGACAAATTTGAACAAGTACCGGAACCTTGTCTTTATACACGAGAAAATGTATTTCGGTTTCCTTCTTTTCTTCCGATCTGTACAAACTGAAAACATTGTATTAATAAATTTTATTATCACACATTTAAAAATATAATAACAAAGATATACGAATATGCGAAGATATCTACTTACCTATATGCTTGATGCAATGTTTCCGTACAAGGTCTATGAAGAACAATTTCATATTTTTTTTCATTTTTTTCTCCTGGACCATAAAGTACGATACCATCTTCGCGACATTCAATATGTCGATTACTATAATTCTCAGGCTTAACCTCTTGGACTATACTCGGTGGTACATCCGTGTATACCATCCGAAGAACATTACTAGCGATTGTTCCAAGCCAAGTCATGATGTGCACAATTGATGAACAATTTATAGGTTATAAATCAATACTGTCACCACGCCTTTTTTTAATCGACGAATATCTATTTAAATAAATCAACGAATTATATATACAAAATTCCATTAATTATTTCAATCTAAATCATTATATTATAACATATCAAGAATAGATATTGCACAAAAATAAATGTAGAAAAAAACCTTGTAACAGACAACCTTACACTGATTCAATTGTCAAGCATGAGAACGATGTAAACAAAAAAGTTTTCAACATAGTAGTATAACATATTGTATACATAAGTACATATATATATATATATATATATATACTTTACCATGTACTTATTTTATATATAAGGTATGTACGTTCTTTGTATCATACATCACATCCAAAAAATATAGAAAAAAATACGAATAATGACATTATAATCACGATAGTATTCTATTAAATAAGATAATATCTTATTATCATAATTATTAGCATAATTATCAAAATATATATTATTCACTATTTTTTTTATTTCGTTTTATTTATATTATTTTACGAATAGAATTAGCATACTTTAAAGTTTTTGATATGATACATTTGAAAAGTATATAAGTATATAAAATTGTATAATGTATATGCGCGCGCGCGCGCACGTATATTTAAACATGTAATAAAATATATAAAACAATAAAAAGTTTAATTTCACGTTCGCGTTATTAAATATATATATGTGTATGTATGTATGTATGTGTTTTGATGTTTATTAACCTTAGCGTTTATACGCAATCGTATACGTATCGTTGACAGTATATTATCGGTATATATTATACGCAATGCCATTGTTTTCGAACAAGTTTTCTCCTAAAAAGACTCCTACAAGAAAAGTGGGAGTTTTTTTAGCGAACAAGAATTTCAGTCCAAAACGTATAGAAAAAGAACTCGGTCCTAATATTGGTCCTATACGTTTAAAATTGGGAGATCAAGAAACTGTTTTCGAATCTGGTTCATGGATTCCAGGCAAGTTTTGCATTGACATTTTTATATTATTTTGTTAATATTATATAAGAAATTATATTAATATAAGAAATTTACACAATTTCAGAATCAGGCAAAATCGGAGGCACATATAAAGAAAATGAGAAATTAAAAAAGGAAATAAAGAGATTGGAAGATGAAAATAATTTATTGAAATTAAAATTTGAAGTACTTCTTGATATGGTTATTATCTTATTTTTCTTAAAATATGTAACATCTAATAAATCATTTAACGCCGTTTTTATTTTTTCTTTTTTTTTTATATAAAAATTAGTCTTTTTTTAATTTTTTTTTTTTATTTTTTTTCACAGTTAACACAAACAACAGCAGAATGTCATTCGCAGAAGGAACAATTAAACGAATTGAAACAGATGTTACCATATGATAAAAGCAGAGACGAAGATACTTGATATGAAGATACAAGATCATTCATTCTTTCATCTGATTCATTCTTTTTTCATGTCATATTAAATTTTGGATTTAATTAAATTATTGTTAATAAAAATTATTAATAAAAAATGTTTTATATATATAATATATAATAATAATAATGACAATAATGATTATATTATTAAATTCTTAAATATGACAATAATGATATTTATTGAAAAATAGGATAGGAAAAAGATTGAGAGGAAAAAGAAGGAATCGAAATCGGATCAATTTTATCATGAAATTCAG